CTACAATTCAAAGATCTCTCTCTTGGTCACTCTCTGCCAGTTCGGACCCCATCAACGTGTATTTATAGTTAGGATTTTTGGCTCCAATGTGCATCACCTTGCACTTGGCCACATTGAAGCCCATCTGCCACGTTGACGCCCACTCACCCGTCCTTGATAGATCCCTTTGGAGTGCCTCACAATCCTCCCTGGTTTTCACCACCCTGAACAACTTCGTATCACCTGCAAATTTAGCCACTTCACTGCTTACTCCCAACTCCAAATCTTTAATGAACAAGTTAAAAAGCATTGGACCAAGTACTGATCCCTGCAGTACCCCACTGCTTACCACCCTCCACTGAGAAAATTGCCCATTTATACTCACTCTCTGTTTCCTATTAATTAGCCAGTTTTTGATCCACAAAAGGACTTGCCTTTTATCCCTTGATTTTTTAGCTTACTTAGGAGCCTTTGATGAGGAACTTTATCAAAAGCTTTCTGGAAGTCAAGGTAAACAATATCTATTGGGTCCCCCTTGTCCACATGTTTGTTCACCCCCTCAAAGAACACTAACAGGTTAGTGAGACAAGATCTTCCCTTACAGAAACCGTGCTGAGTCTGCCTCAATAGTTTTTGTTCATCAATGTACTTACTAATTCTTTCCTTAATAACAGTTTCCACCAATTTACCCGGTATCAACGTCAGACTGACTGGCCTGTAATTTCCCAGATCTCCTCTGGAACCCTTTTTAAAGATGGGAGTGGCATTAGTTACCTTCCATTCCTCATGAATGGAGGCAGATTTTAAGGAAAGATTACATATTTTTGTCAGGAGATCCACAAGTTCACATTTGAGTTCTTTCAGTACTCTTGGATGTACGCCATCCGGACCTGGTGATTTATCAGTTTTTAAGTTGTCTATCAGTCATAGGACCTCCTCTCTCATCACCTCAATCTGACTCAGGTCTTTCAACACCCCTGCCGAAATCAGTGGTTCTGGAGTGAGCAAGCACTTCTCATCTTCCACAGTAAAGACAGAAACAATGTCCAAGCCCTGTCCAATGTCCAATGTTATGTCCAAGCCCTGTTCCATGTGACTTCCACGGGTATTTTCCTTTCCTTTTTCCTTTATTGCTATTATATTCTTTGTTGCTCTCTCTCTGTCTTCACCCCACTGAAGAGAAGAAACCTTCAGGAAGGTACCAATGTTTCATTCTCCTTTAGTGGAGGAAGTAATCCAAGATGGTTATCTTTGCCCAAGCTGTACTTCTGGGTGAGTTCCCTAAAATGTGTAAGGTTCCACCACCTGTTTCAGAACCTTCCTGTCCATCTGGTCTATCCTGTAGTGAGAAGGCAGAGAAGGATGTCCAAGTGGCTGCTCTACAAATCTCCACTACCGAGGCTCTTGTGAAGAATGTTGCTGTTGTCTCTGTGGCTTTAGTTGCGTGAGTGGTGATCCTGCTGGGTAGAGTCAAGCCTTGTGCTTCATACACTTTGAATATGCACTGCTTCACCCAGAAGGCTGAGGCAGATTTTGACATTCTTTTGGCCAAATGTGGCTGCTGTGAGAGACAAATAAGGAATCAGTCTGACACCGGCCATTCTCTTCTGGTAAATGCGCAAAACTCTGCCCATGTCAAGCTTGTGCCACACTTTCTCCTTTGGACGCCTTGGGTTTGGGCAGGATAGTAGTATCAGCGGCTGATTGACTTGGAATGCTGGGTTAACTTTGGGTACAAAAGAAGGGTCTGTTCTTAGGGACACTGAGTCTTTATGGAAGATGCATAATTCCCTTCTGGCTGAGTGTGCTGCCATTTCTCTGACACCCTTCTGGCTGAGGTCACTGCTACCAGGAAGGCCACCATCCTATGTCAGAAACAATTCAAAGGGAGCTTTCATGATAGCCCACAGCACTGTTAAGAGGTGCCAAGTGGGAAACCTGTGCCTAACAGGTGGGGCCAATTGCCTCGTCCTCAACAAGAACAAGTCCACAAAAACTTGGCCAAGGGAGTCAGCATGGGAACAGCACAGGAAAAATGACCCCAGTGCCATGTTTGGGTCCGTCCACATGGCCAGCGCTATGTTTGGGTCCACCCACATGGCCGCATATCTAGGGGAAGGAAGGTCTGCTGGGTTCCATGGGAGATTTCTCCCTGAGCTGCCCCATGCCCTGGAGGAAACCAGGCGTTGGTCTGTCTGGGTTCCTCTAGTTCCTAACTGCAGGGGGTACCTCTCTGTGCGGGCCTTCTGGCCCAGTGTCTGACCCATGATGGTCTTTCACATTCTGCAATGCCACACCATGGCTATTGGAGGCTACTGGGCTGGCTGGTGCTGCTTGCATCCCACGAGGCTCTCCCGAGCTGCCACGCTGCAGTTGGAGGCTGCTTGGCTGGTTGGAGCTGCTTGTCTGGCCATGCTCGCTCCTTCCTTGTTCTGCATGACGGAGAGGTCACAACCTGCTTCGGATTGCTCTACTGGCATTGCTGGCCTCATCTCCTCCTGGAGGTTATCCACAGCCCCAAGTCCACAGCTCGAAGCTTCGGGCGGAGGGGGCTTCTCCCTGGTTTCCTTCTTTTTCCTGCTCCCCATGGTGGTCAACTAGATGAACCTTGCTCTGTCTCTATAACATCAATTGGCTGGTTTTGAAGCCTTTGCAAGATTTTTGAGGGTTTCTAAACGGTGTTTTTTTTTAGTTTTCCACAGGTTTGGCATGGAGCAGAGATCAAGCCTCCTACCAAAGCAATAGGGCTATCCAAACTGGAGGGTCAACCTACGATCTCTCCAATAGGGGTCCTTGCAAAATTTGCATAGCCCTATCAGAGTGAGTGGAGGCATGACCTAACCAGCTCGGATGACTCCCCCCACTGAAGGAGAACCATGTCTCTGAAATTCTCTCTACTTAAAAAGCCACTTAAAATAGTCACTGCCTGATTTTAAGAAGCAGGTAAGGGCTTTTACCTTTAGGCAGACTTTCAGCCTGTGAGCTGGTTTCTTTTAATACACTGTTCTACCTACCAGGTTTTATAAGGTTTCCTTATATTGGTTACATAACTGATATTCTACATTGCTTTAAACAGGTTCCTCTCCCAGGAATAGGATTTTTTCTTTTTAAAAATAGAATGCAGCTGGTGATCAATTGCAGAGGATTAGTTTAAAATGACAAAGAAGCTCCTGTAGCAACTTCTATAACAAAAGTTAATCTTTAATCACTTTCCATTCCAAGTTACAAATAGAAATGACTATTTGTACAACCAGACATATAAAGGCAGTTCTATCACCATTTTACACAATGGCTAGCTAACCTCAGTTTGACAATAATTTCTGTCCACACAGAAACAAAGAATATAAAGTATTACAGCATATTTCACAAGACAATGGCTAAGGAAGAGAGACATTCTGTCCTACTGTTGCTTGATCACTTTTAAATTCAAAGTCTCTAGGCCTAGCAAATAGTAAGAAATTAAAAGGAAGGCAGTTAGCAGATGTAAGGAAATGGTGAAACAGAAGAAACTAAAACTCAGAAATTAAGGATGAACACCAGCATCCCAGAGGGTCAATGAATTGTAAAGTTTTCTATTTAAGCTGATTTAAAAAGTAGTTTTCTTTTGTGATGTTCAAATGCTATTAACAAGTATTAATCTGGGTTACAACTTGGTTATTAATCATGAGGTTGAAAAGCCAGAATACTGTAATTTAGGGGCAATGTCTAAATAAAATTTTAGTTTATATAAGAGGACAGAATATTTTCAGGGGAAGTCGAATCATTGGTTGTGCTTAAGAGTAATCAACAGATGATTACTAATTATCATTGGATATACTGTTCTTACTATGTGATAGACTTCATCTGGAATTGCTTATTCTAAATGAGAGAAAATATAGTTCAATCATGATACCGTTTACAAGCAGCAATATATGAAAGTGTAATGCTTGGCATTTTTCTTGCTTTCCCCTGCAAAAGTGCCTTGAACTTATAAGCAGGCCACCAGTTCTACTAAAATAATCATGAACTACAGACACGCACGTGTCTTGAGTATTCTTAGAAAATTCAGTATCTGAAGTACTGTAAATATCTACTACAGGAAATAAGCACAGTTCTTGTAATTCAAATGTTGGATTATCAATAGATTACATGAACTGACTAATAATCTTGATAAGATTCACACACTTTACAGCAGAGTGTTTTTTTCAGAAATTGGAAGTTCATAGTAAGTAGTCCAGTAGTGCCACCTTCTGGTCTGGTTGTCATCTACACTTACCCCACAAGCAAAGGAGCTTCACACAGGAGACTGAATAGCATGCAGAAGACTGGGGGGTGGGGGGAAACGCTAGATTTTGAGTACATAATATATTTTTTTTGGCTGTCAAGTCATAGCTGGCTTATGGTGACTCCATAGGGATTTCAAGGCAAGAGGCGTTCAGGGGTGGTTTGCCATTGCCTGGCTCTGCATCACAACCATGGTATTCTTTGGTGGTCACCCTTCCAAATACTAGCCAGAGGTTGACCTTGCTTAGCTTTTGAGATCTGACGAGATCAGGCTATCCAGGGCTATCCAGGTCAGGGCATAAATAAATGTATAGTTAAAGTTGTTTTCTAAGATATTATTTCCCTTTCCCATTTGATTGTATGTGTGCATACTTAGTATAAACTTTATAAAAATGGGTCCTAGCTCGTCTTTTAAGCTAAGGTTCTCCTACAAGCTGGCTGCTTAGCCCACATTACTGTCTTACTGATTCTTCCCTCATGGCAGAAAAGGAACATTCTCTGCACCTCACAATGTGGCAGCTCAGGCATGTTCTAGGGCAGATAATCAGGGCCACAACCTCTCCCTCAAAATGGTGGTAGTTCTACCCAGAGGATCTGAAGGGACTGGGCATAATCCATGCTACACTAGCTTCATTTAATGCACGACCACACAGCATGCTCCTTTACTAAGTATGAATGAAAGAGAATTCAGTTAAAGTGATGTTTAATATATATATTTTTAGTCTGTATGTGAAATGGTTATGATAATGTATACATACCTTGAAATATTTTCTTCTTATACGGGTCATATTCATTAACATCACACCAGAATTTATTCCAGTTTTTCCATAATACGGATGCCTAGCAAAGCGATTATACCATCCAATACGAGGCTCCTCATGCTCTGGTGCCATTGCAGCAATTTGAGAAGAATTAAATTTTTTCAAAAAAGACCAAATATCATCAACAGGTCTTAAGAACAAGATGTCTGTATCAACATACAACAAAGAGTCCACATCTTTGAGAATTAACTGTAAAGAAAAGAAGTTTGGAAACATGTATTAGGTTAAATACTGATCAATTTCGGAAACCCATCTTGCCCAGTGAGCTATTGTAAAAGTGCAACATCCATTCATCACAAGAGACAGCCTTCAGTTATCTGCTTTTCACAACAATATCACAGCACACAAATACAAAGGATAGCACAAGCAATTTGGGATCATATTCACTGTGCACAAAAGTTTAGCATTATCCAGTATGATTCTTATTTTATCTATCTTATACCATGCTGAATTAGGATTTGATATTTTCAGGTTATTAATTTCTTACTGTGAAATGTTACTGCTTTACTGTTCTATCATTTTATTATAAGCCACTCAGAGAGACAGTCACATTTCTAAATAAATCAACAGGATTGTTTTTATATTGAAGGCAGGCAGTATTCAGCTGCAGTGGCTCAAGTGGTTAAGACACTGAACTGCAGGCTGTGGAAGCTCAGTAGTTCAACAGTTCGAGACCCGAGTGTGCCACATGATGGAGTGAGCTCCCATCTCCAGCTCCTGCCAACCTAGCAGTTCGAAAGCAAGAAATTGCAAGTAGATAAATAGGTACCACTTTGGTGGGAAGGTAACAGCGTTCCGTGCGCCTTGGTGTTTAGTCATGCCGGCCACATGACCACTGAAACATCTTCGGACAGCGCTGGCTCTTCGGCTTTGAAACGGATATGAGCACCGCAACCCTAGTCAGATTTGACTGTAATTTCGAGCAAGGGAACCTTTACCTTTATAGTATACATACAGAGCCTAAAGGTCCAATGTGCAGCCAGACCTGCCCTCTCTCTTACATGATAAGGGGAGAAAAAATTCTGTATTAGAACAAATTGACTATCAACTGCTAAATGTTCATTCAGCAAAATTTCCGTTTAGCCAAACAGTGAAAGCTTTCAGCTGTTGGGAGCCCAAATTGTACTTTGAAACACATACTTTGAAACCTTTAATATAGTACACTAAATGACTCTAAAATAAATATAAGAATTTTGTTATAGGTACCACCACTTACAGGCAAGAAAAGTCTTTGAGAAGCACAGGGCTTGAATAGTTTCTTCCATTCTGCTGCATTTTCAGTTGGAAATGAGATGGGATACAAAGTATAATTAAATTTTCCTTGATATGCCAAACTGCCAAGCTGAGAAAAGCAAATAAAACGTTATTTCAAAAGAAATACTATAAGCAACTGTTCAAATAAACTTCATGTAAAGACTAATTTTCAATGCTGCATCAGTTTGTGTCCATCCTTACCGCACTAAATATAAAAACATTTTTAAAAATTGTAAACATATTTAAAGAGTTTTCTAAAGTAACAAGCAATACTGTCAGCCAAGGGCCTCAACAAATGTGCTATTTATGGCAATGTAGGATATCTTGTGCTCTTAGAATAATAATTTGTAAGGAGTCAGATTTCTGCAAAATTCTTTTTAGAAATATGATAAAACAAAATAAATACAACAGCCTACAACACAACAAAATTAACATGTAAGGCACTGAAGCAAATATGTTTTCAAAGCAATTTTTATGTTCCAGCTTTGTTTCCCTCTACTTTTAAGTCATGACTGACTCTACCATATGTGAACATGAGTTACATAAATAGCTTAACAAGAACAAACCTGGGGGGACATTACTTTATTGACATGGCCTTATTGTAATTTAGTAAAGGGAGAAAGATACCTTGGGCAACAACTCTCTGCCGAATAACATCAGGGTCCTGCAGGATCTGATACAATTCCGCAGGGCCTGTAAGGCAGAGGTGTTCCGCCAGGCTTTTAGCTGAGGGCAGCAACGGGAGGTAAAGCCTGGCATCCTCTCTCTTTTCTCTTCTATGGCTAGGGACAGCGGTGTGACTGGCAATGGAGGTTTATATTGCCATCTTGATGGGTTTTAATTTCTGTTACTACTAGTAATTTTAATTATATATCAATTGTATTTTAAATATTTAAAATGTTGTCAACCACGCAGAGGTGGGCGATTCACAAAGTTTAATAAATAAAGTTTAATAAAACTGCAAGAGCTTGCATTGTAAAGGTGAACTTGAACATCAGAGATGGAGAATATAAAGAGAAGAAGAGAAGAGATTGGATTTATACCCCGCCCTTCCCTACCCAGAGGAGTCTCAGAGCGGCTTACAAACTCCTTTCCCTTCCCCTCCCCACAACAGACACCCTGTGAGGTAGGTGGGGCTGAGAGAGCTCTGACAGAAACTGGTTTATTTCAAGAATAGCTGTGCCAGAACTATGGCTTGCCCAAGGTCATCCAGCCAGGTGCAAGTGGAGGAGTGGGGAATCAAACACGGTTATCCCAGATTAGAGTCTGCACACTTAACCACTACACATTGCTTACATTATAACTGTAAAGACCAAATCCCATAGTTTACTACATTTTAGAAAGTAATGATAATTTCATACCAAATCAGCAGCACGTGATGCCACTTGTAATTACAATGGTGAAAACTGTAAGGAAGCTGTAGTTTTGAAGTGTTTTTACATCACTGTTTCCCTAAAAGCCGAGTGATTCTGTATAAACAGGTACACGGCTTTCACTAGACCAAGATTCTTACTTTTGTCAAAAAACATTGACAGATATTTATTATTTATTTATTTAGATTTCTATCCCGCCCCTTCATTTCAAGATTACAACTTTTAACATGCTATAAGAATCCTTGGAGAATGAATGAATGAAAGAAAAAGTTTTCACTAATCTCCAACCCACACAGTAGTTTAATCCTAATAAAAATAAACAGATTTGAGGGACCCAAAGACCAACAACAGATATTCAAACAAGAGAAAAGTCACCTTTAACCACTCATGATAGCAGTTAACACACAGTATCTAGATACTTTATTTATCTATTTATTTATTTATTTATTAAATTTGTATCCCACCCTCCCTGCCTTGGCAGGCTCAGGGCATCTTACAGAATATATATAAATATACATATTAAAACACCAGAAATATGTTAAAATACAGAAATAAATTAAAATTACAGCATATAAAATCATAAATGTTATGGTAAATACTTACCATTGCTTGGAAGTCTCTATGTAGTGGGTCCTCTGCAAAGATATGAAACTGCAGGTGCTTGATGCTGAAAATAATGGCTGATTTCAACATAGTAACTGTCTCCTCCAATCTTTCACCACAGGCTACCACTGCCAAGTGCATCTTCTCAGAAGACAGAGTGTTCACAAAATCATATCTAATACAAAAGAAAACAGGTAGTAATAGTTCCCAAAGAAAAAGTACTAAAGATGAAAATCTTGATCAAAAAAAGAAACATTCTTGTTACTGTTGTAAATACTCTATGCAATACAATAATCTTATGCAATAAAACAACTTTCCAGACAACATGCTCAAACCACCCATCCTTTACCCACTTTATCCCTGGCCTCCCAAAGCCAGCTCAAAAGGCAATTGTGATGGACTGCACTTAAAAACCAGGGTCGTAGTGGGAGGTGAAGTGTTAACACTCCACTGGAATGAAGAGCTTGAGTGACGGGCTGCTGTGTGTCTCTAACTGGCCAATGTCAGCTGAGAAAAACTATATGATCAGCCTAGTGCTGAAGAGAAATTAGTTCAGTTAGGTTCATTCCATTCCGGAAGTTCTGTCAGCTGGAACCAGACTGAAGGCCGTCAGTTGGTTTTTGACAGAGTTTGGAGTCAGTGAGCCTGACAGGAAAAGTCTGACAGGTTCACCTTAAAGTGAAGGGAAAAGACTCCTTTGCCTTAACTGTAGTAGTCCTATCCTGAGGAAGAATTCATTAACAGAATTTGGAGACTAAATGTCCACCTAAGCTGAAGTATGCTTTACGCAGACACCAGAACTGGGATGGTGATTTGGCGATTGGGTAGACTGCTGAAACTCCCTTTCAAGCCAAAAGGAACAGGGTTATATCTTCTGTGGAGAAAAAGATTAATTTGTGGCCAGTTTGTCTGGGGGTTTGGTTTGGAGGAGGACCATGGGTCTGATGTGAAGAGAAAACGTTTTTTTGACAACATAGGAGACATAAATAAACTGTAGTTTCAAGTTAGGGAGCGAGTTAGGTGGTCAAAGAAAGAGACTCACTCCAGGAAAACTGCACTGTCATAGGAAACTCTCTGAAGAAATATTGTTGCTGTAACTAAAATACTACCGGTAAGTACAACATCTCTCACTGTTTAAAGCAGGGGTGTTAAACTTGCGGCCCGCAGGCTGGAACTGGCCCGCCCAGGCCTTAAATCCGACCTGGGAGTGGGGCACTCTTCTCTCCCCCCTCCCCTGCCCAACCTTGCTGTTTTCAGCTTGAGCAGAGCGCTCAGGGCGGGGCTGCCTCAGAGCAGGAAGCAGATGGTGGGGCTGCCAAACTTCCCAGCCATTCCTCCAAGCCTTCGTAGTCCTCATCACAGATAGGAGTGGGGGGGGGGTGTCCTTCTGCTGTGATCCTTGTGCTTCTTTTTTATTTTAAAACTGGCTTTGCAAAATCCCACTATTCCCCCCACCTTTCCAGTTTAGGCAGTCATGCTTTAAGGGTGTGTGGGGGGGGGGAGGTTTCAGACCAGCCAGGGTTAAAACATAAAGTTCTGCAAACTCAAGGGACTCCAGTTTTGCAGAGAAATACTAGTTTTCTCTCACACACACACACACACACACACACACACACACTCCTAATGTGGCGCTCCAATGGGATAACAGCAGAACAAGTGCTGAAGAGGACACCCAAAGTTATTATCTCAAACCACCTTGTTAAAAAAACTCTAAGACCCTGGAGAGCCACTGGCACTCTGAGTAGACTGGGGCTGGGGTGAGAAGCTTGCAGTGCTCAGCCATTTCATGTTCTTCCCCTGGGTCCTAGGCTCAGACCATTTATATTTGTAGTTTATATTTGGGAGGGGGGGTTGGGACTAAACACAGTTAAAATATAGAGTTCTGCAAACTCAAAGGACTCCAGTTTTGCAGAGAAATATTAGTTTTAACACACACACCCTCCTTCGGGGAGGGCGGGATATAAATCCAAAAATAAATAAATAAATAAATAATGTGGAAATGCAATGGAATAATAGCAGAACAAGTGCTGAAGAGGACGCCCAAAATTATCACCTCAAACCACCTTGTAAAAAAACCCTGAGACCCTGGAGAGCCACTTTACTCCGTTCGAGCCCGACGCGCGCTCTGAGTAGCGTGGGGGGGGGGAGAGAAGCTTGCAATGCTCAGCTGTTTCATGTTCTTCCCTTGGGTCCTAGGCTCAGACCATTTATATTTGTAGTTTATATTTCTGGGGGTGGGAAAGGTTTGAGACTAACCACAGCTAAAATATAGATTTCAACAAACTCAAGGAACTTCAGTTTTGCAGAGATATATTAGCCCTTATGTGGGGCTCCTCCCGGGTCCCAACGATACCAGGTTGGCTTCAACCAGGGCCTGGCCTTTCTCAGTGGTGGCTCTGCACTGGTGGAACAAATTCCCGGAAGACACTAGGGCCCTGTGGGACCTTTTACAGTTCCGCAGGGCATGCAAGATGGAGTTCTTCCACCAGGCATTTGGCTAGGGAGCCGCACTTAATAAACATAAGACCCTGCACCCCAATACCATCACCAACAGCCTGTGCTCCACTGCCATGAATTGGACTGAGATGTCAGTCCCAACATCAAATGCTGACTGTACGTTTACTGTAACTGACTGCTACTAATACCTCACCACTGTGATACAAACTGCCCACTAGCACTTTATGATGATGGACTGTATATTTATATTTGCTCTGTTTTATCTGTTTTTTAAACTTTGTCTTAAAATTCTTATGTAAGCCACCCTGAGCCTGCTCCAGTGGGGAGGGCATGGTATAAATCAAATCAATCAATAAATAATAGCTTTGTCTTTTTCTGTGTCCTTTATAAAGTTTATATCTCTGCTACCTGGTACTACATTTTATGACACACATGGCCAAGCCTGACAAAGTCCAATTTATTTCAAATCCGGCCTTCATAAGAAACAAGTTCAACACCCCAGGTTTCGAGCCTAGAATATATGCAGACAAGAAGAACAGTCTGGATTTATACCCCTCCCTTCGCTACCCAAAGGAGTCTCAGAGTGTCTTACAATCTTCTTTCCCTTCCCCTCCCTACAACAGACACTCTGTGAGGTAGGTGGGGCTGCCACAGCTCTTTCAAGAACCACTTGTGGGAGAACAACTCTGAAAGAACTTGTAACTGACCCAAGGTCACATCAGCAGCTGCATGCGGAGGCGTGGGGAATCAAACCCGGTTCTCCCAGAATAGAGTCCGCACTCCTAACCACTACACCAAACAAGCTTTAAGATCACTATTTTGCCAGTTAAAAGAAGTGTGCTTTGAAATACAAGTTTTGCCTCAGCTTTTCCAACACTTGACTATACCTATTCATCCCCTGCCTGTTAAATAAACTTAAGATTTCTGTTTGAATGTTATTTTGTCTTAAGTGCCATTTCAAAGGGTAAAACAAGAGTGTTCCTGTTTTCCTCATCAAGTCCCTGGGCTGGGCTAAAAACCAAATTATATTCTGTGAAACAGGGTGTGACAGACTATCAAAACCAGAAATATTAACATGCTACTTGGAGCTGCTCAGTCACAGCAGGGAACAAGACTTATAGTGGAATATATGCCAGATAGTGGGGGAGTAACTTCCTGAACTGTCCCTGTATAAAATACATTGAAGGCTTAGCCAAAGGAAGTAGCAGTATTGTTCAATTTATTAATAAAAGCTTGAACTATCACGTCTGCTCTAAAGTGAACAGTATTAGTGACAAGCATTAAAGAATAAGGCGAGTATTCAAAGAACTCTTTCAAGCATCGCCAAAGGTTTGTTCACAATGATGATTCTGTATAGACTAATACCAATATTTACTAGTTGTTTATAAATAATATGACTGGCAGTTAAAGAACAACCCAATAACATCAAAATAGGCATGTGTTCTTTACCCTTAATCACTTCAGAGCCGCCTGCGCACAGGAGCTTCCCATTCTGCTGTAAAGAGAATACTACAGACACACAGATATCTCCAATGGATGCAAAATCTGTAGTTGCTGAATCCCATTTTTAAATACAGTCTTTCAAAATAACAGATAAGGTTCCTACTTTTATTAGTTTAAAAGTTACAAGATAACTTGATGTTTGTTTAATCAAATTTTGATTTTTTTAAAAAAAGTTTAAATCAGGTTTTTATATTTTAAAGTTTTCATACTTTTCATTTAAAAAAAACAACATTCCTCAAAATGAAAGTTACGGGCCATATTCAGGAGCTACACTAAGGCCATTTACATGTGTTATCACATTTTAGGCACCTGGATAAAGTTGGAGCTTATTTGCCCTCCACAAAATAGTTGAGAATTCTAGCTTGGGTCAGGTAGGGCAAAGTCCAATTTGCTCAGGTATCTCTATTTGGGCCTTTAAACCAACTGGAGTTTATTTCTGTGCAGGAAGGAAAGGAGGAAAAGAGTGAGGGAAGCATGCAACTCCAAAAAAGCCATAATTGTGCCCATCATAGTAAATGGGAATTGAATCATGCTTAGCATGATCTGAATGCAGCCATAATCTCCTTAAACTGACTAATGATCACCCATCAAAACAAAACATCCTTTTCTAATGTGAACAACCACTACAGGGGTAAATGTAAATATAACTTCTGAGGCTGAGCATTACAGGTGACACAGTCAATCTTTTAGTTGTCATATATTGCTCTACTATAACAATAGTTCCTATGTATTCTTTAGACATACACATAGGGCTGCTTTAGTAATTGCCTAGAATTGCCACAGACTCTATGGTATTGCCACAAACTCTATAGTAAAACTATAGAGTTTCTGGTGATTCCTAGAGCTATGTGACATCACTTCTGGGTTTTCCTTGGAAGTGATTCTTATGCCACATGCAACACTGACTTTTTAAAAAAAATTATCCCACTGTTGTTTTGAGTGGCAGTAGGCAAGAGAGCTGCTGGTGGGAGGCACCCCACCACTGTGGGAGGCCTGGCAACCCTACATGTACAATCTATATCTAATAATGTGTTTATTGTTTCAATTTGAATAATTTTGGTAACAATTAATATGTTATAATGTGTTTAATTAACAGTGTTCAGAGTTTTCAATGTTATGCATAACCATAATACCCAAATATGCTGGTAGCCATCTATATATATAAAAGAAAGTCCCCTCACCGTAAAATCAATACGCAGGCCAAATCACTGGACCTAGAGACACCAAATTCGGGGAGAGCGCTCCCACCATGGGGTAGGTGTTTGCTAAGAAGGGATTTTTAGAAATTCGATCCCTAAGTAGGTCAAAAGGGGGGAAATGTGCTCCCCCCATTGATTCCTATGCGGCTGCCAGGCAGCTCTCTCCCTGCACCCCCCACTCTCTCATTGGTCAGCTGCAGATCTCAGAGTTCTGAGGTAAAAAAACCCAACAGTTACAGGGGACTGCAGACAGCTAATGACAGTTGAGGAAATCGGGAGTGGCCAACAAGCACCTGTGAGGTTCAGTAATGCTGCTGGCCCAGCCTCTCCGATGGCTTCCAACACACTCCCCCCACCTCCTATACCTAACAGGCGGTTGTCTGTCAGGTGCAGCCCCACCTCCACAGTGGCTTCTAATACCTCCCCCCTCCCACTCCTACACTGGACAAGCAGCTTCCTGTCAGGTATAGGAGAGGAGGTGGGATGGCTTCCAACACACTTCCCCCACCTCCTACACCTAACAGGCAGTTGTCTGTCGGGTGCAGCCCCACCTCCACAGTAGCTTCTAATGCTCCTCCCCCCTCCCCCTCCTACAGTAGACAAGCAGCTGCCTGTCAGGTGTAGCAGAGGAGTGGGATGGCTTCCAACACACTCCCCCCACCTCCTACACCTAACAGGCAGTTGTCTGTCGGGTGCAGCAGCCCCACCTCCACAGTGGCTTCTAATACTCCTCCCCCTCCTACACTGAATAGTCAGCTGCCTGTCAGGTGTAGGAGAGGAGGTGGGATGCTTACAGCCACCGGGGAAGTTTGCTCAGCATTATTGCCTTAGCACTGCTGCTGGCCCAGCCTCTCCGATGCCTTTAAATACAATCCCCCCCAACACCAGACAGGCCAGTGTCCGTCAGGTGTAGGAGCAGGGCCAGGGTATGAATGTTTATGGGGAGATAGTAAAGGACATTTCTAGGAGCCATTTCGATACGGGCCTCCTGCATGAACCTGAAGAAATGTCCACCCAAGGCCGGCCTGAGGTGTTTCTGCACCATAGGCGAGTGCAGATGCCAACCTCCCGGTGGGGCCTGGAGACCTCCCAGCTGGCCGCCTCCTTGCCAACCTCCCGGTGGGGCCTGGAGACCTCCTCGCCCCGGCTGCGCCTGCTGCGACGTGCCCTGGTGGGCATCCTCCTGACCCTCGAGCTAGCGCTCGGCGCATTTCTCCCAGGTAGGGAGGCTGCGGGGCAGAGGGGCGGCGATGCCCAGCTCCACGAGGAGGCTCCTGCCTCGCCTGAGAACAGGCCAGCGGGCAGGCTCCTCGCCCCCCTTCTCACCCCCTAAATATGCCAATCAGCACAATTTTATATGCTAAGTTATAAATAATGCATTTTATGTTGATAAATCAGTAAAATAAGCTTAGGTTTGACAAGAAATAAAGTATTGCATGTATTTCAATCCCCCCCCCCCATTTCAATTTTTTTCTTACGAAAACAAAGTTTTCACCCATGACTTCCAAATTTCTGGAAATTTTACATCTCTAGTGGCAGTGGTTTGTCATGATTTAAGTTATTTTGATGGGAATAAATCCAGTCTGCTTCAGGGATATGGACACCCTTGGAACACTATGGCACAAGGAATGTAAGGGGAAAGAATCATAATTATTTCAACATTTTCTTAAATTGTCAAATAGTTACTAGCAAGGCTAAAATTATCTAATTGAGCAATTAAGACTCTGTCAAAGCCTACCTAAGAGCAGCTTCCCAAAAGCAGTTCATTCCACAAACATCAGAGGGCAGCATCCAATAGGAATTCCAGTAAGATACAGACACCTTCTTACACCTAACAGGATAAGACAGAAACAATCCTGTATGAATATTATTTGTCTTATATCATGGTCCTAATGGAATATTTTTGCTTGCTCATAGAAAAATTGTAACTAATTAATTAACAGTGGCTGAAGGTAGAGCTTTATGGAATGTCTAACACTAGTTTATTACATCCCAGGACAACTGTAGTAACTCTGCTCAAGATTCTTACAGTGCAATCCTAAATGCAATTCTACTGAAACATGATTTACTTGTTGGCTCACAGCAGAATTTCTTAAATATATCAGATTATTTCTTGGCTAGAAAATAGCAAGCTTAAAAATATTTTCTAAAAGTCAGGTATTTAAAACCTTTTTCAAAGTCCAAATGCTGAATAAAAACTGTCATTACACACCACTGAATTACTTAAAAAGGCATTTTAACTTTTACTTTTAAAGAGATTCCCCAATCACTGACCATGGTTCCACCTACCATTTTAACATCACTATTAGGTGCCCCATAAATTAAACTGTAAAGTCTTTGTTGCCATTTTCACTTATCCCTTCTCGGTTTCTGCTTTGTTTTTGTTGTTTGTTTTACTTCTAGTCTAACATTTTGCCAGTACAGAAATGCTAGTCAGCACAGCTTTTGTCGGTGTGTGTGCACGCACTAAATCCTTCATCTTCAGAAGCTACCCCTACCCCATAATTCTCTGTTGTGTCTCCTACTTTGTGGAATCGCATCCCTCCCAATACTCTTATCATTCCACAGCATTTGTAAAATACAACTGTTCAGGATAACATTTTTATAAAGTGAACAGGGCTGTAATACAAAGGAATTATTCAGGAAGACACTTTTACAAAGGGCTATAGGTTATGGCCCTTTTTACTGTATGCATTATCTTATTCTTACTGCATTGTCTTTTAACTCCTATAATCCAGTTTTTCCATTTCTTTTACATCACATCTTATGCTGTTCCTGTTGAATTTTTAAAAATTTTGCAACTGCCTTAAGTCTCAATGAGAAAGGTGGGCTATAAAACAAATAAATAATAAATATCTTCCATGGAATGGCCTTCTTCCCTCTAGGAATCACAATTACTGGTGGACTGCATTTGCGAAGGGAAGCCGATAAAAAGGCTGAGCTAGGAATTTTATCTATAATTTGCTAATGAGCACCTACTCGCTTTGTTGAACATTTCCTCATTATAAATATAGAATATATTTTAAAACTCAGTCATTTTTAATTAAATGGAGGGCCTTCTGTAACACAATATTTAAAGCACTTAAAATATGCTTGTACTTAATCTGTAATGAGAACTACACAATGGGGAGAGAGCAGATGCTCAGCAGTTCTAAACTGATAAAAAACTAGTCATCTGTTTTAACTTCAAGGCAGCCATGTTTCATGAAATCCATCTATCAATACTAATAGGTCCCCTGAAGTTGGCTATTACACATTGAAACTGAATTTAGTTATTTACACATTCAAGTGAAAAATGTCCTGATGATTTAACAGGAATACACATTGTAACGACTGATAAAGCACACTGAAAGGGAGAAAGATCCTACTACTTCAATGAGATTTCAGCTCAACTTTATACACTTCAGTTCTACAATTTTAAAGTTATACAGTGTTGATTGGACAACAGTTTTATATTAGCTGTGTCACTGTCTAGTCAGTAATTTCCAAACAGTAATCTCCACAAAAAACCCTTCTCTGAATTACTGTTCCTCCTGAAATTTAATTAACACAGTATATTACATTATACTGAAAGGCATTAATCAAATGAGGATATGTGTCTAATCAACCAGTTAATGTATATTAAACTGAAACTGCTTTACAAAGAATAGCTGCTGCAACACTTGCACTGAAGCCAAGGCACCGCCTGTACCCTTGCGCCAGAGCTGAAGCTTCCTTTCCAATCTTATACATTGCTGTGCCCATGGAGAAGTGCATGAAATCATACTCTATGTTTGGGGGGGGGGGGGACAAAAACCAGCAGCTTTCCTATTTAGAACTGAACCTCCATCCGTTTTAATTACAGAGTTTGAACAAGTCAATACAAAGCCAACTGAAAATAGACTTCCGAGGTGGCAGAAGTGTGCTTTCTGTACAGCAAACAATGGAGTCAGAATCGCCTCAGGCAAGTTTCCTGTGATCATTATAATGCTTCTGTATTAGTCTGATTCCTTTCAGCTAAAAGAACTGTAACAGCAGTTACAGTATTGCATCACATCTTTCATCTAGTACCAAGAAGCAATTGAAAAGATTTGTATAGGCATGACCAGAGATTTCAACAAATTACATCTCAATCCTTACCTTACTTATATTTAAATGAAAAATACATTATGCTGAAGTGATTAACTTTCTAACGTGTAATGACAGGAGATCAAGAAGTGACTCATGGCCAACAGTATCGGAAAGAACTGATCCTTCAAATACCATAACGTTGCTCACAGCACATTAATTTCTATCAAACCCCATATTTTTAGCTATGAACAGGGGTAATTTCCTGCCGGAGCCCACCAGAATGACGCTCCAGCAGTAAGGAGCCCAGGGGCGGGCACATGCAGCAAGCCCCGCCCCCAGCAGCCCTCAGTTGGGCCACGAGGAGCACGAAGGAGCAAGGTAAGTTGGTGGGGCCTCCCCATGCCTTCCCCGGCACGCCCGCCGAGGCGGATGGACCAGGGAAGGCCTGCAGAGCCCCCCCCCACCTACCTTTTACAATACATGTATGAATGTATTTCCTTCTTCACTTGGTGTAAGCTGCTCCAAACATCTGTCTGGAGGTGGGGCCAATCATGGCTTTTCAGAGTGTATTTCTGTGTTGTGCATGAAGTAGAATATGTGCTCACTTCAAACTTTGTTGTGTTAGCTTCATGTTCCTGTTAAAATTGTAATACCTTTTTGAAAATACTGGTCAGGACCCAGAGAACCAAGCCCAATGTTAATCTATATATCTAATTCCGAAGATGCCCCCTGTGTGCAGATACCTAAATCCGTGCATCGGGGGCACCTGGGGGGGAGGGAGATTTTTGTGCACACTTGGTACGGTCCCCAGGTATGCACAAAAATCTTAAAACCTGAAAAAAATACCGGGGGGATACTTAAATCCCCCCAAAAGTAACAGAGCATCCCCTGCACCTGCGCAGGGAACGTTCTGCGAACTCCCTCGCTGCCACCGCTTGGGGGGGGAAGAGAGCAGCGAGGCCCGAGCGGAGGCGGCGGGGGGGAAGAGCACCGAGGCAGCGGGGGCCCCCGGAAAGGGCAGCGAGGCCCGAGTGGCTTGCCGCTTGGGCCTCGCTTCGAAGCCGGGGGGTGAAGGGAAGGGGGGGAGATCAAGCGGGGTGTGTGGAGGCGACGGGGGAGGAACCGGCAGGATGGGGGGAACTTACCTCCTCCTCCTCCTTCCTTCTCTGCCTCCTGTGTGGAGGTCCCCCCCCCGCGAGTATCGCGGGTCCGGCCCCCTTGTTTTTTCTAAACTAGCACCCTTCGACTGCCATTGTTACATAGCGAGTTGCTTGTGAAACTGAAGTTTAAAAAGCTGTTCGTGACATGATCTAGCATGTTGGAGAAGAATTGTTCAAAGGGTCCAAGTCATTGATGGTGGCTGAGGTTAAAAAAAACCCTTCTTCTTTAGTTCAGGGTCCTACCTTACAGAAATGTTGTGAGAATAAAGAGTGAAGGAGAACCATATTTGCTATGTTTAGCTTCTGAAAGGAAGAATGGGATAAAAATTTGACTGCTGTCCATTGCACTGCTCCATTATGAATCACTTTCACCAGATGTGTAAACCCCTCCCCTTCAATACCATTGCATGTTTTTTGTTTCTCTTCCCCCACCCTTTAGTTCAATGCTGTATACTGCCTGTCTCTAGCATTGGAAAGGATAGTTGCCACCATAGCAAGATAACTGTCCATTATATGGGAATGGAATATTGCACTACTAGCAGTGGAGAAAGGAAAACTGGAACATTTTTGAATACATGTGAATGGTACGGGGATGTTAGTCCGTAAGGCATTTGCTTGGGCTCTAGTACCTTGATTTCAATGGGATGTGTAGCTAAATTCTGAGAACGTTTCCCCCAGGATTAAGTTTTATTGTATTCCAGGGGGCTATTGCAACCTTAGTCATTTCGCAGAAAAAGAAGTGCAGGAGCTAATTAGCATAACTCATTAGCATAACGTATTTGCATATGCCACACACCCTGACATCACCAGAAGTGTGTCAGAAGGCAGGAGAGCTTGTACCTGAATAAACCTTGGTCTTAAAGGTGCCACTGGACTCTTGGATTGCTTGCTATTGGGGGGAGGGACATGCAGATCTGCCCTCACAGAGGAGGGAAAGCTTGTACCTGAATAAGCCTTGGTCCTAAATGTGCCACTGGACTCTTGGACTGCTAGCTATAGGGGGGGAGGGACACGCAGATCTGCCCTCACAGAGGAGGGAGAGCTTGTACCTGAATAAGCCTTGGTCTTAAAGGTGCCACTGGACTCTTGGATTGCTAGCTATGGGGGGGGACACACACACAGATCTGCCCTCAGAGAGGAGGGAGAGCTTGTATCTGAATAAGCATTTAAATCCCCACCCCGAGTCTCTCAGAGTTGACATATGGTATCTGGCTGTACCTCCCGCTTGGGCAGGAAATTACCCCTGGTCATAATGAGATTTTCTGAATTGTGCTTAGTATTGGACCAATTCTAATATTTTATTAAAACTTTTTGTAAGGTTGCACATAGATCCTTCAAAACCTTTGAAGTTTAACAACTTGCAAAATATGCTCTTGGTTTGGTCCAATAGAAGATACCGTTTTTACCTATTTTATATTTCACTTTGTGGTATCAATAAAGTAAATAAAGTTTAATACAAAGACCCAAGGCAATAATTAATCAGAACTCATTTTAATAAACACAGTAAAGGTGGGAATAGATACTAACACACACACACCTTTTGTTTTACTGAAGACTGAGAGAGTAATGTTAGTACCACAAAAGTGCACTGATACTTTGAATTCCATTTAAATCAGGGGAAGGCCCTGCAAGGAGCGGGGAGGCCATTTCACAAGGTCGGAACCACTGCTGAATGCACGCAAACAGGCTAATCTGAAGCCAGGACTGTCCCTGCAAGGATTTGTTCCCACTCATTTTGTTTTCCCCATTTCTTCCAGAGGGAGGTAACCCCCCAACATCCTGCTGCTTCAGCTATTTGTCAAAGATAACTAGCAAAAGATGTTCTATCTCAGCCATCGTGTAAGTAAAATCATCATTCATAACTATTTTAACTAAAGGAGAAAGGGGGAGTCATATATGCTGAGGGGTGGTTTAGTTTTAACTCCCCCCCCTTTAGGCCCGAACCTGGATGGCTCAGATCTCGAAAGCTAAGCAAGGCCAGCCCTTGTTAGTTCTTGGATGAGAGACCACCAACATAGTCCAGGGTTGCGATACAGAGGCAGGCAATGGCAAACCATCTCTGTTTGCCTCTTGCCTCAAGAACCCCAAGGGGTTGCTGTAAGTCAGCTACAACTTGATGGCACTTTACACAGACACAAACATAACTTTTTGGATGCAACTGCAAGTCCTTATGAGTTTTGACACATTAAAACTGTTTGTTCTTGGAAAACCTCTTTGGATGTGTTGATCCATCTAGCTGGTGTAGTGGAGACAGAAATGTTTACGGTCGTGCATGTCAGATATGAATGGGTGTTGTACCTTTAACCTTGGCTGCTTCCATGGAAGGGGTCTCTTGGCACTGTAGACAAGATTACACATCAGCAAAATGCCAGAAGCAGAACACTAACTGGGGTTCCACACAGTTTTTAAAATAATGCAGGACTCTGCTCCCCTTAATGTTGCAATGTCACATTCCCACACAGCCTGCTTTCTTAAGAGCAGCTGTGATATGGAAATGGTTAGTTAGTTAGACCAAGAAATCTGCATTTTCCATCAACTGAGCAAGGGAAACAATTCGTACTGGAATCCTCTTGGAACATACTGCATCCAAATTTTGCTAAGAATCAAGAGTATTTTTTTTTCAGCATCTTACGTAACTGCTATTATTACAGTGTCTGGGTTGTAGACATTCTAATAGTTCCAGTTCAGTAATACCATGGTTCTGCTTAAATACCATCATCCTTTTGTAGGTTAGAAACTACCCACCATGTTCCCTCAAGAGCACTGAGATCGGGGGCGCTCCATCGTCTGGAAGTTCCAGCCCCCCGAGCTGCGAGGTTGGCCCATACTAGATCTAGGGCGTTCTCGGTGGCGGCTCCTTCCTGGTGGAATGAGCTCCCGGAAGAGATCCGGGCCCTGTGGGACCTTGTGCAGTTCCGCAGGGCCTGTAAGACGGAGCTCTTCCACCAGGCCTTTGGGTAGGAGCCGCCGCCACCACCATCGCTATACCATCTTCGATGTACCGTCCACCTACCAGATTCCATGGAGGTGGTTTAGTTTGAGTGTGTTGGGGCGCCTCCACTACTAAGTTCATGGGTCGCAAATATGAGCCGCTGAGTATCTTGTATAATGTATAGATTGTATAGATTTGAAGCACCACTTTTATTGTATATGTAAAATTGTTTTATTGTTTTACTGTTTTAAACACTGTTGTTAGCCGCCCTGAGCCAATGGGTAGGGCGGGATCAAAATCGCAAAAATAAATAAAATAAATAAATAAATAAATAAATAAATGAAAAGGAAGAGTATTTCAGACTACTTTGTTGGGACCCCAGCAAAATGTGGAGTGATTGAAGACTGTCCCTCAACATCAAGGGAATCATCAAGTAATCCAGATGGAATGTCAACTTGGTATGGAACTTGAAAATCCATCGACCGGCGAGTCAAGACATTGCATTTCTGCCTCTGCAGTTAATGAGAGCTTCTGGCCCACTTGTTGGACTGTAGAGCAGAAGAATGATCCCCTCCAAAGAAATGACTGGTTATTTTTCAATGGTGGCAAGTTAGGTTGCTCAGTGTGTAAAAATGTTGGAGCCTTAGGGACAGAGAAGAAAACTGTGGGCATGCATATTTCTAAAGAGTGGATATGTGGCGAGGTGTCATTTAATGGAGAACTGAGGAAACAGCATTTAACATCTCTCAGGGATTTTTTTGTGAACATAGAGAAAGTACAGGTCATAAAGCTGCAGTTAAAATCACAGCTGAAGCAAGGAAAGAAACACTGAAAACAGTTATGTTTGAGGTCCCAAGAAAGAGAGATGGAAATCACCAAGAAAATATTCTGTACAGCATATAAGGTGGCTAGAAAGAACCAGTCTTTTAATGATCTTGAGGCTGACATTGATTTCCAAGAGTAAAATTTCATTGATACTTGATAAATCTACTACTTTGAGTCAGAAATCTGTACTGATAGTGTATATTCGCACCTACATTGAAGAGATGGACATGGAGGACCCTATGAATTAACTTCATTGGCTTGACAGAGCTGGACAACGTGACAGCAAATGGAATATTCAGAAGTCTACCCTTGAGTCACTAAGGATCACTGAGGAAGTCTTAAAGGAAAGTTTGGTTTTGTTGACTTGTGATGGGGCTGCAGTGATGATAGGATCCCATGGAGGAGTCGCAAAACTTTTCAAAGACAGATTCCCTTCCATTATTGTATGGCATTGTGCTAGCCATAGGCTGGAATTATTAGTCCATGATGTCGTGAAAGAGGTGTGTGGCATCAATAGATTTAAGAGTTTTATGGACAAGTTATATGTCATGTATCATTCATCTCCAAAAAATGCAAGGGAGCTCAAGGCATGTGTAGCCACGTTAGAGATGGAGGTTTTGAAAATTGGAAGGATCCTGTCTACAAGATGGGTTGCCTCCAGTTACAGAACTGTTATGGCTGTGTGGAAGGTTTACAAAGCCCTAGTGCTTCATTTTGAAAAAGCTAAACCTGAGAGTGGTCGAGATAGAAAGGAGAAGTGCACATATGAAGGTCTTCAGAAAAAGATTACATTAGCAGAATTCATTTTGGATCTCAGATTACTTTGTGATGCTTTGCAAGAGCTCTCAGAAGTAAGTGTAGATCTGCAGGACAGAAATATTGATCTGTACAGAGCCCATGGCAAGATTGAGAGTCTTTTTGAAATATGCGGGAAGAGAGGCACTGCTCCAGGTCCTTACTATACAGAAGCACTTGAGGCAACAGAAAAGTTGCAATTTAAGGGTTTCCAGTTGCATATAAGAAATAGAATTGATGACCCACCAATCTCCCCAGTTGCATTCTATAAGCAACTTAAAAATATCTTCAAAAAAGACTGCTTTCAAAAGAAGACACAGAATTGTCAAA